GCCGCAAGGCATACAGGCAACGCATACGCCAGATGGTGGATGAACAAATGAAGATCTCTTTATTATCGGTACTGCTGATGCTTATCCCTGTAATTGTGTTGTTAGTAGTGATTACATTGTTATTGAGTGGTTCAACAGAAGCTGTCGAACTGGTGTTGGTTTATGGATTTACGATCTTTTTTGGCTGGCTTACCGCTATTATTTTAGGAATGACATTTAAAACGCTGCCATTTATTGTTTGGAACAAAGTATATCACCAGCGTGCGGGTTTGGGAAAAACGCCCAACCCCAAAGATCTTTTCAGTAATCCTGTTTTTCGCGTAATGAGCATTGGGTATCTTGTCGGATTTATATTATTTTCAACAGGGATCATGCTTAAAGAGGCAATGATGCTGCAAGCCGGGACTGTTTTGATAATTGGTGCTGCTGCTTTATACAACTGGAACGTAATAAAATTGTTACTACACAAACCGGTTACTGTATGAACATAACCACCAACAATAGCTTTCTGTGCGAAAAGGCAATAACCGCATTGAAACAGGTTAATGATCCTGAAATTGGATTGAATATCGTTGACCTCGGCCTGGTTTATCAAATTGACTTTGATGAAGAGGGTAAAAAGGTCTATTGCACGATGACACTTACGACACAATTTTGCCCGATGGGAGAATCTATTGTAGATGCGGCGAAACGAGTTTTAGTGGAAGATTTTCCTGGAAATGAAATCATATTAAATTTAACTTTTAACCCGCCATGGAATCATGAAAAGATTTCTGAAACGGGACGCGAGTATTTAAACAAGTAAACATGCTTAGCCTCACCTGCAAAGCCGCGATCAAGGCGGTAATTTACCTGGCTTCAAAATTTGAATCTGGTGAAAAATCCGGCATCAAAGAAGTAGCTGAATACACCGGAACTAACGAACATACCGCCGGAAAACTCTTACAGACACTCTCAAAGCAAGCGATAATAAATAGCGCTAAGGGTCCAAACGGCGGTTTTTTTGTCTCCAAGGAGCAACTGAAGCAACCCCTGATCCGCATTGTGGAAGCAATAGACGGGGATACTATTTTTAAGCAATGTGGATTGGGTTTGAGCAAATGTTCCTCTTCACATCCCTGTCCTATTCATAATGAATATAAACATGCCCGGAATGCTATCGAGAAGCTATTTCATGAAACGAGAATAGTGAATTTAGTTGAGCCGGTTAACAATGGAGTTGCGCATTTAATCGACTGATGAGAGAAATGTCATTCCAGGCAAGTCAGGGACAATAGATTAACTGATGTTGTAGTTCATACA